GAGAATTACCCCCATGATGGCATACCAGTTGCAAAAGTAGACAACCCGCGGTATTGCAAATGGGTTATGCCCAGTCTTTTTTTAGTAACCACTTAGTCACAAACACTGGCCAAAATAAGCCATATATGTTTTTTGCATTTTTCACACACAAACAAATATGAACGCTAACTTTGGCCAGTGTTTGTGACTAAGTGGCTACTAAAAAAGACTAAACATACCCCACCTTCAATACCTTGGGTTGTCTACTTTTTCAAATGGTATGCCATTATGGGGGTAATTCTCATTCCTGGGCTACCACACCATCTCAAAGGTAACATTACTAATGAGGCAATTTTCAATTTGAAAATGGAACGTTCTATATTTGACCCTGTAACTTTCCAAAACACCATAAAACCTGTTAATGGGGGGTACTGTTGTACTCGGGAGACATCGCTGATTACAAATATGTGCATTTTTTTGCATTAATACCTAACAGTATTATGACATTAACAGCTAAAATGTCAGGCGGAAATACAAATTTTAAAAAAAAATCTTATTTTCTAAATTTTTTAAAATTTTTATTCATAATAAATGATGTTCCATATATGAATAATTAATGATAAATTAAAGCCCTGTTTCTTCTGAACAAAATTATATATAATAAGTATGGGTGCACTTAATGTGACAGCAGTGAATTACGGGTGAACAGACATATAGCGCAAATTCCAGTTTTTGTTTACGTTTTGTTTTGATCAGAACGTGTACTATTGACTCCGTCCTGAAGGGGTTAAGGAGTTAATGTTGTAACTGATTAGTGTACATTGTGAATTTTCTGCTTTGCCCAGTGCTGCATAAGAAGATCTGATTAATTTCAGCTGGGAGCAATTTCTTACACCTGTCCTTCCTTAGACTGGGTTTCCATATTTGCTCTCATAACTAACCAGCTGTGAAAGGTATAGCCATAGGGCTGTTTTCTTTACTCTCTTCCAGAGTGATATGATCTATATTAGTCATGACAGTATCGTGCGATTCATTGTTCAAATGGCGTGCATGTTTTTTGGCAGACCACGTACACCATTTCGTAGAAATGATGTGTGTGATGAACTCACTAATAAAAACACTATGATCCACTAACCTCCTACCTACCTGTCCAGTTTCACTTTTTCTCTCCTCAAGGAGAGCCTGAGTATCCAGACGCTATTAGCGGGACCAACCTAAAACTGCTCTGGAACTCTGGCCCAGCCACTTGTTTCGAGATTTCCCAGTCATATTGCACCCTCCATTTAACCACTTTCCCAGCGCCCAAGAAGAGCGCTTTTTAGGGGGAAACTTCTATCTCCAGAACTGAACAATTGCTCCCTGAAACCACCAGGGAACTCCTATTCGCCACGGAGATATTACGCCCGGTAAATTACCGAGCATTAACCCCCGCATGGAACTATTTTCGGCCAAGGTTGTTGTAGTGGTTGGGCAAAACTTTGAGGTCGCAGAGTTTGGGAAATTCTTCATGGATAAAAGCGCTATTTTCCCAGAATGGGCGCTCAGATCAGCCCTTTAAAATAACTTGTGGGGATACATTAATGTTTAAGGGATGTTTTGGGGTACTACTGTGTGTTACTTTCTGTGTTAATTAACCATTTATTTGCATACCTTGATCCAGCGCCAAGCTACCTCGGCACTGGTGACCTTCATCGACGTCCGAGTGGAGCCGAATGCGCATGCGCGGCCAGAGGCGCGAGCGCATTCAAACCCTCCCATAGGAAAGCATTACTCAATGCTTTCCTATGGGGATCTTTTTTGACACTGGACTAAGTGAGGACGTCCAGCGTCAAATAAGTGCGATTCACTCAGTGTAAATCGCGATAGCGACCTCTTGTGGCTGCCAGGGAGACTGCCACTAGAGGCTGGGTTAACCATGCAGTGTAAACATTGCAGTTTCTCTGAAACTGCTATGTTTTCAGCTGCAGGGTTAAAACTAGGGGGACCTGGCACTCAGACCACTTCATTGAACTGAAATGGACTGGGTGCCTATAGTGGTCCTTTCAATTTTAGTCTTAACCTAGATAAGATGTTCCCATGTGAAGTGACCAAGTTATGGCCTTGTATCTTTGCCATGTTAAGGTAGGTCCTAACATGCCCTAATTAAAAATCTAAGGTATAAATATGTGTACTTAGGACACCGAGGAGAGATTTTGGAGACAGAGACGCTGCTCCATTTTATCATGACTGGAAGGTTGACATGTTCAGGAACAGAGGTGGCTCTCTAATTAGGCGGTTTAGGCAGCTGGGGCCTTGTGGCTGCCTAAACCACCTTAGGGCAGACTGTGTTGGTTGCTCAGTATGCCGCTGGGTGCGAGGCCCCTCCTGTCTGCCCGGCCAGCCATCAGAGGCACCGGTCTGCAGCTCCGCAGTGTGTAGAGCTGCATACCATGTGTCTCGCGAGAACTGGCCAATCAGAGCGTTGCCGCGGGTTACCACAGGAACGCTCTGACGGGTCTCGCGAGATACATGGTCTGCAGCTCTGCGGAGCTGCAGACCGGATATAATGGCCACCTGACCTCAAAGAAGCCCATCAGACCACCAGGCAGCCCACACAAGACCACCAGGGAATAAAAAAAGGTATTTAGTCCCTCTCCTCTCCCAATCACCCCCCTCCCTCACACCATCACCCCCTCTCCCTCTCACATCACCCCCTCCTTCTCACTATCACCCCCACCCTCTCACATCACCCCCTTTCCCTTTCCCTCTCACCATTACCCCCTCTCCCTTTCACCATCACCTCACTCTCCCTCTCTCCATCACTCCCCTCCCTCACACCATCCCCTCCCTCTCACCATCCTCTCCCTCCCTCACACCATCCTCACTCTCCCTCTCATCCCCCTCTCCTCTCCCATCACCACCTCTCTTTACCATCCTCCTCCCCTCCACACCATCACCCCCCTCTCCAGTCTCTCCATCCTCCCTCTCTCACACCATCACCCTCCCTCTCATCACCCCCCTCCCTCTCACCATCACCTCACTCTCCCTCTCATCACCCCCTCCCGCTCATCACCTCCCTATATTCATCACCCCCCACACACCATTAGCCCCTCTCCCTCTCATCACCGCCCTCTCCCTCTCACCATCTACCCCTTCTCCCTCTTACCATCACCACCTTCCTCTCATCATCTACCCCTCTCCCTCTCATAACCTCCCTCTATCACCCCTCTCACCATGACCCTCTCCTCCCTCATAACCTCCCTCTAACTATCACCCCCCTCTCACCATCATACCCTCCCTCACACCTTCACCCCTGCCCTCCCTCACACCATCCACCCCCCTCTCCCTCACACCCCCCCTCTCCCTCACACCATCACCCCTTCCCTCTCACAATAACCTTCCTCCCTCTCACCATCACTCCCTCCCTCTCACCATCACCCCCTCCTTCTTACTATCACCCACTCTCTCTCACCATCAACCCCCTCCCTCACACCATCACCCTACCTCACACCATCACCCTTTCACGTACAGTATCACCCCTCACACACAGCCTCCCCAGACACACTGTTAGCATCCCTTCACACTCTCACCTCCTCACACATTGTCACCCCTCCCTACACTGTCATCACACACTGTCAGCCTCTTCATGCATCCACACTCACATTAACCACTCCTAATCCTGCTAATCTCACCCCCTTCAAACTCACCTGCCCTCACTCACCCTGTCACATTAATCCCCCTTAATCATGTCACACTCGTCCCTCCTACCATGCCACAATTGCCCTGACACACTTAACTCCACTCGCCCTGTCACACTCTCTCATCAAACCATGTCATACTCCCTTCCCTCATTCTCTCTCACAACCCCCTACCCTTTCCATTTACCCCCTTTGCCCTGTCACACTCTCCCTGCCACTGGTACCCCTTTACTCACCTTGTCACAGTCACCAGCTGAACATATGCATCATACTCACACAGTCAGGAAACATAGCTTTGCCATAAACACAATGCACAAAGGCTACAGGCAGGCCCCCCATACACATACGGTCCCAGACAAAAATGCAAACATGCTCACAGAGACATACATTCACACACACAAGGATACTCTCTGTCAGACACTTCAAGCAGCTACCACATACACATACGGTCCCAGACAAAAATACAAACATGCTCACAGAGACATACATTCACACACACAAGGATACTCTCTGCCAGACACACTCTCATGCACATACACAGGTAAACTGTGCATCAATGTGTATATGTGACAGTGTGCATGTATTGCAACTCTATTTTTTTTCACTTTTTTGTTAGTGGGGCACCATGTTTGAGTTTCGCCTAAGGCCTCATAAAGTCTAGAGCCGCTTCTGTTCAGGAGGGTATGTTATTCTATTTTACTGATATTGCAAGCATATACGTTAATCTTATAAACGCTGCTATAAATTATTGTAATGGATTATTACGTTTTGACATGTCTATATTTATATTTTAATTTAAAAAAACATTTAAAAAGACAAAACTTTAGTGCTTCCAAGACAATCCCTATTTTATATTGTATTCTCAATTATTTAGATATTTTAGAGGAACTCTTACTAACTATATATTATTATGGCTAAGATAGCTGTACGGTTAGCCCTGCTAAATTTTATACTTTTAGAGGTTATAGTGGTAAATAAGGGAACCGGCTGCGGTTACACCATGTACAGTCAAAATAACTGAATTCGGGGGGAAAAAGATCCCCATATCAGCTATGGTACAAGTTTGACTATTGTGGATTTAAATGTAAAAATTCACTTTAAATTTACAATAATTCTCAGATAGCCAGACAAACTATAATAGGAACCTGGGGAGGGGAGAGATAATATAAATAAAAGAGAAATGTTTATAAATGGCCATCACCAGGGCACACACATTCTTCCATTCCAAATGGAACGTTAACTACAACTTCCATGATGCTCAGCATTCCAACCCCTCCTCCAGGAGTTACACTTTATGGACCAGCATGTGTTCTCCCAGATATGAATGTATTGGGAAGGGTGTGCTCCCTCCCTGCTCTCTGATTGGAGGCTGGGAGTGGCACCAGCCTATCAGCGCTGTCCCCGGGATTGTTTGGATTTAAATGTCCTATAAGTGTCGCAGCGCTGACAGTGTGAGCTCAGAGATTATTCTGGGCTGCTCCCTCACTAGTGTTCTATGGCTAACCTGTCCCAGTGCCTGGATGATGCCCCCCTGGGCAGCCGCCTCCCCGCTGCAGCCCCCCCTGACCTGTACAGCGAGGCTCAGCGCCTGGCTTTGGAGGAACTGGTGTCTGGAGGGCCGGTGGCACTGAGGGGCTTCCTGCAGAAGGAGAGGGTCCCTGGGTTCCTGTCTGAGCCCGAGGTGGGGGAGATCCTGAGCTGCGCTGCCTCCCTGCATTGCCCCGATGACGAGCTGTCGGTGTCCGCTTCAGTGGACTGTTCCTCGGTGACTTACTTCCCCGAGCGCTCCGATGTGGAGCCCCCGATGCTGGAGCTCGGCTGGCCGGCTTTCAGCGCTGGGTCCTACCGAGGAGCCACCCGGGTGGAGACACACTTCCAGCCCAGCTATGGGGAGACCATCTACAGCTGCAAGGAGGCGGTCAGGGCCCTGATCAGGGCTGCCAGGGAGGTGGGTGGCAGTGCTGGGGGATCTATTGGGTGTCATGTTTTAAAGGGTGGGGGGATCCAGTGATCGGAACCTTGGTAACCAGCTAGGGTTGTCAGGGAAAGCTGGCACAATGGGTAGTAGCTAAAAAGTGCTGACATAAGGTATGTAGAATTTATAAGCAATATGAGGGAATTAACTGAAATCTTCACGACTGATGATTTTTGGACTTCAACCCTGAGTTGGTTTCAATTCTTCAAACGACATGGCATCACTTTCCATGCACTGCTCATAGACATGTACTAATAACGTGCACAGAGAAACGTGGTAGATCAGGCAATCATTAGGTCCGATTTTGTTAAAATTGTTTACTGAGCACCATGAGGGACGTAACCCATTACAGCGTGAAGGTCATCAATGGTAACTTTGTTGGGAGGTAGATGGCTGCATGACTGATCTCTCATGAAATACCCCATCACATGCTAGAATTTCAGTCTGAAGCCCTCTCAGAAATCCATAAAACTAACTTCTTTAGGAAAGCACGTTCATTTTTAATGGTTATCAAATTCTCCCCTCTTACCAACCTTTTCCTCAATAATGTCACTCTCAGGGTGATCCACTAAACTTCAAATTGTAGTAAATAAAATTCGCATAGAAAAATTCTAAGAACAAAGTATGATCATAATTGTACACATGATAACATTTCAGTTGCGTTCCTGTCCTACGACACAAATAAGCCAGAGGCTGGCACTCCTTAAAATAAAGTAATGGATCTAAATATTCCCATTGGATTGATACAACATACTATGATTAATTTTAACTCTTTTTTTTTTAAATTTTAGGTTATTTTGGGAAGAATTCTTCCACTCTATAACTCCACCTTGACTACTTTGGCAGAAATTTTATTTTAATTGGTTTCCAACAATTTATAACTTTTGTAAATAAGCCCGCATGTATAAATATTGATTTGTTTTAACTGTTTAAATTAACATGTTTGCACATTCTTCATTTTTATTCCAAAACAAACATGAATATTATAATGATATAAATATTGTGCTTTCACTATTCGATAAGACAATAAGTAGTTTATAAATGCAACAACTTTTTCTAACCTATTAAAAGTTAATACATGCATGGCGTACGCCCTAATTCAGGGGTTCTTACCCCTTGGAATGAGACCAAAATAGTTCACCTTGTTGTTTCAGTGGGTGCCTGTCGGAACTGCTTAGAATAAATGGTTTACTAAAGCATTCCTGCCTTCAACAGGGGAAGGGGTCCTATTTGACACAGTTTAATGAACGTGCTTTGCGGAACTTAATTTTTTATTTTTTTTTAAGTGAAGAATAGACCACTGATCGAGTTTTAAAAGGAAAGCATGGGTTAACCAGTTTAATGCATTATAGGTCACTTTCAGAAAGTGAAGAACCATGGTGTAGGTCAATCATGGAGATGTATGAGGACCCATTCAATTTACCCCCTACCCATCTGCAGGGAATGGGCTTTATCTATGGGATATCCTCCATAGTCCTCAAGGCATGCGCAAGAGTTCAGCAGTGACATTGTGTCCTGGTTCTGAAACAGATCCGCTGGGAGAAAATGGCAGCACCCCACTTAGGACCGGTTCAGTTAAGTAGAACTTGCCTGACCCCCAGCAGCGATGTCCTCATTGGGGATGAGGTCTTTGCAGAGTGGCCAAACGGTGACAGTGCCACTTTGGTCTTAACAAAGATTTAGCATCAACTTGAATCAGGCTGTGGATTTTTGGACTAGGTGGCTAAACCATTATGGGCTTACTTTACTTCTTAATTCCATAACATCCTTACATTTCACTTGCAAAGATAATTCTGTTATCAGTCAGCCTGTGACTTGTAGAAAACGTCAGAGGCTGGGTAAATAAGAATTGTAGCTGACATTGTGCAGCTGATCAGAACAAAACCATCTTGGGAGAATGTCAGGAAGGAATATATTGAGGGTTATTTAACTGTCTGCCAGCATGACCTATGATATGAACCATGCAGAATTGAGTGAAGACTGGCATGTAGCAGACACATTCACCGACTGAGATTAATGTTAACATGCCCCCTTCAGGGAATTCTCTCTGCATTTATCGACCTTGTCTTGTCAAATTATGTTGCAGGGTTTTCTCTGAATTTATGCTTCTACCAGCATTCAGGTTTATAGCTCGGCTATGTGGATTGATGATTCAGGTTTTTGTATGGGAAGGGTTTGGAGTGGGGATTAAACAGAATTTGCTGCGTTATTTGACAGCCAAAAACCCCAAGTCATTATAACTTTCTTGGCAGTATAGACTAGAACAGTTGGAGTGCTTAAGATTAGCCGTAACCTGCCTAATTATTAAATCATATAACATCAGAGTCCTCATAGTGTCAATTCATGGATCTTTATATTGTGTGATCTAATAATTTTACTATAGGCAGGGAACACTGGTGCAATCCAAAAACTCAGATTTTAAATTGAATCTTGATATTTCAAAGTACTGAAGGTTGCTGTGCTGGCAGTGATGTTGTGACATGAGTTATTCCGTATCGGGAAAACGCAATTTACTTGATTTAGGAGACAGTCATGCAAAGTGTTGATGCTATGTTCTGACATTCTGTCTAAAACACAGAATATGTTTTACATCTCATTTAAACAAGGATTCAGAGACCTAAACAGTGCATCAAAACTTATTGCTGCAACAATTCAGAACTATATATGTTTTGGTTTATAGTTGTGTACAGTATTTAAAAGGAACTCTGACATCTGCAAAATATGTGGGTGATGCACTTCAGTCTGCGATTAACGTAGAACCTACGAGCTTGCAGACTTCCTGTCCCAGTGTGAGCCTTTGTGCATGCGCCAGTTCCCCTTAATGAGTTATACTTAATCACTGGCCCATGCACTTCTAATCTGAAGCTTCCACATCAATGCCAAAGAAGGTCAGAAGGAAAAAAAGTGAAAGAACAACTTTTGTCTATGCAAGTTCTCAGTTTACACAGTGTACGGATGGACTTATATTCCCTATACAGTGGCACCAACAGTTGCACATAAACCAGATTACATAGAGCCAGTGGGAAATTGTATTGTATGACTACATTGCAACAGAAGTCAGATATTATTGGCTGCCAACCCAGTTCACCCAAAGTTATTACCCGTTACAATAAGCCGTCTCAATGGCATTTGTTTTTGCTTCTGTGAATGTGTTGTTGCCAATTACTGAGGTTTTCTACCTTTGTTTTAGTGATTTGTGCCATGTATACATTATTGAATACTGCGCCTGGATATTCTATGTGATGCCTGACAGCCAACTCCTTTAGAGAGAGCAAACTATTCTGAAACACAAAAGTAGTTTAGGTTTTGCGTGCATGTGTTAACTAGGGTTGTGCTCTTAAACAAAACGTTTTTTTTTTTTTAAATTTAGGCTCCTCTCCCCCCCCAATAGACCATTTCTATTTATGATTTTATTGCGTGTTGTATATTGAAATAGCAATATACAAATTCACTTTCTATCAGTTAATGGGTTAATTCACCATAGGTGACCACAAGTCAAGCCACAGCTTGTTCGAATCATAAAACAGACTTCCTGTCACTGTGTCAATATTGACCTGTCTACCCAACAGATCTATATAATACTTCGGTTACTTTTGTCATGAATGAATGCCGGTGTGAGTATGGGTTATGTCTCAAGATCAACAACGATCTATCACGATTTCCTTACAATGCCATGTTGCTCAGACTGAGCAGATTTGCTCATCGAAAAACCATCAAAATGAGTCATCGCAGAAATCTAGGGTCTGTGGCCGGTTTTGTTCAAGAGATAGATCCCCAGATTTGGCCTAAATTGCCATTATGCTGTGGGCATGCCCCTGTATGATACCATGGCAAGAGTGCCCGCTCTTTGTGTTGACACAGTGCTTTGGATCTAAGCACTCATGAGCAGGTCTGGAGCATCATATAAAAATGTCAGACTATGCCACCTGCTTCTATTGCATTTACTCTAGCAAGGAACTGGAAACCCTCACCCTATCAAAGGCTTTTGAAAGACATTCCGGGATAAGCAGCTTGGTGAAGAAAAGTATAAAACATACTCCTCTCTGGATTACTTACCTGTCCAGGGTAATGTTCTTTTCCAAAGATGCTCTGGCAACTTCAGAGAAATGCCATGTGCATGCTTGGACATTTCTTCCAAAGTATGTGCACTCAAATTGCCAAAGAGCACTGCATTATGGGGGTTGAATTAATTTGCATCTTATGCTCTAGTTATGCCAGGACAGTCAGGCATAACATTGCATGTTTTAAAATTTAAAAACTGTTCCGAACTTAAAAAAACCCAAACACAAGCCCTTAAATGGTGACAGTGCCATCCAAGCTCATTGTACAGTGATGTGGACTATGTATTTTATTTTTTCAATTCTTTATTTTTTATTTTGCATTTCTCAAAAAGAGAACTGTTATACAGAAATGTGAAAAGGTAGGTAGGTTGCATTTGTTTGTACAGTACTGTTGCTAGCACACATAGGCTTGTATTATCAACAATCTGTCTGTTGTCTCCCGCGGGAGGGTTTGGTGTTCGGGGTAATGCTTTTCGTGGCCTGAGCGGGGCCTCTTAAGAGTGGTTTCTAGGTCTCTGGTCGTCAGGGATTAATCTGCGATGGTGTTGTGGTAACTGTCCATTCGGTTGGCTAGGTTGGTTGCATTCTTATGGTTGAGTGCTGTTAAGCAGTGATGTGTGGCCCTGTGGGTCTCCCTGTCGTTCTGTGCCCATGTAACTTTTGCTTGCCCGCTGTGGGCTTGTAGTGGTCTTTCCCCCAGGGGTCATTTGCGGGATTGTGGTTTGTGTCCTGAGCGTTCCGTGCAGGGGTGTTAGGGGTGGGTATGGAGTGGGGCAGAAGTTTTAGAACTGGGAAATCAGAGAGATAGAAGGGTGGGTTGGGTATCGGAGTTCGCCGCCGCATGTGGCCCCAGCCAGTTGGTTGGGGGGGAGGGGGAGTGCTGTGGGGGTAGGGATGACTGTGTCGGGAGTACTGTCCACTTTCGGTTGGACTATGTATTTTATTTTACACCTTTCTTGTGTGTTAGCTTTTGTATCAAACAAATTTATTGATTTTAATAGTAAAATATTTATATTAATGCTGGTTTATATAATAGTTTCTTGCAGCCAACAAGATAGAACATCTCTAAGAGCCCTTAAGGCTTGAAGGCTGTCTCTCACATTAAGATGAAGGAATATTCAGCAAAGCTATAGCAATCTTGGTGACAAGCTTTGAAGGTGGCTTGGGTTATATTAATGCAAAAACATCATTAAAAGAACATATGATTGATGAGGCGTACATTCTGTGAACACTAAGGCGTTCCCTTTCAGCACTACAGGCAAGTTTTGTGTGATACAAGAAAAGGAGGGGGAGGCTGGAAGAACTCGTTAAGTTAAAAGGACCAGCTTGGGCACCATAACAACTTCACCAAAATAGTTTAATGAATGGTTCCAGCACTGAAACTCCCTTCCTCTCTGTCCTTCTGTTTTTCTCAAAATCCAGAAATCAAAATAATCGGGCAGGAGTGCTGCTGATTGGCTGAGAGTGGTCAGCTGATGCCCGCAGCCAATCAGTGATTCATCATTCATAAAACTGTCCAAACCCCTTCTTGGGACTTTTTAGGGTGCTTTTAATCCTGTAGGGCAGGACTTAATAAATCCCGGGTTACCATGGCGACTAGTAACTTTGTCCTGAAACGTGGGTGTTTGTCAGCCCGTTCAGCAGAGGCTATCGGCTGAGAGAGCATGGAGGCGGCAGCGAGGGAGCTGTAACCCTGTGCTCATTTTTGCTCTGCTCCCTTTCGCGCCCTGCTGTGATACTGGGAGACCGAATATGACGATTACAGCACAGCTGCACCCTGGACCCCAAGGGGGAAGGTTAGGGAGGCTGGGTTGACTTAAATGAAAAATAAAAAATCAATTTGTAAATGTGTGTGTCGGTGAGTGATTCTGTTCAGTAGACCGCCACCTCTACCCCATGGGAAGGGCGTTTTTTTTTTTTAAAAAAAAATCACTTTATTTTTTCCATGCTGTGCCTGGCCCCGCCTCCATTGGTTGAGATAATCAGTCTTGAAGATCTCAGCCAAGCCAGTGCTTTCCCATAGGAAAACATTGGGAGACTATTGAACATGCGTGGAAAAACTCTGCACTGAGCCAATCGTATCTCCTCATAGAGATGTATTGAATCAATGCATCTCTATGGGGAACATTTAGTGCCTCCATGCAGAACGTGGAGATGCTGAATGTAGTTGCTGCACGCTACAGGACTAGGAATCACCTCTAGGAAGGTGTAGGGGACTCGTTGCCATTACACACCTGTCTCCAACATGCTGTATGTGCAGATGATCAATATATGCACTGAATTTATATTACCCACCCGGAACTCTTGTTCCAGCTGGGATATTTACAACACAATGATACTGCTGAAAGTAGAGTTACACCTCTTACAGGCAATTGGTTAAACTATGTGTGCGCAGCATTTTGCTGCACCTTGACCACTAAACTAGTCATGGTTCTTGGTGTAACCCTTTAAGATTCCTTAACGAGTTCCGTCTTTGAAGAGAGCGCCATCTGTATGAGACTGGTCAGCCAGAAACTTATTTTTATTTTATTTTTTTTACAATATGTATATTCGTCTCTTGCATCAGCACATCAAAAAAAGTGTTAGAGGTCTAATAATGGCAGCATTTGAAAAAAAAAATGTTGAGGTACACTAAGCACCCAGACTACTTCAGCTCATTGAAGTGGTCTGGGTACAGTGTCCCTATTGCACTTAGTGCTGCATTGTTAAACATTGCAGTTCCAGCTCTAAGTCTGCCCACAGTGGCTGGCTACCAGACAGCCACTAGAGGGCTTCCTGAATCGAAATGGACCTTTGGTCTGGTATCTGATGCAGGATGTCCTCACGCTCTGTATGAGGACATCTTGCATCATAGCGTGTGGCGCATTAACACACGCACGTTGTGGGCTGTCGGAGGGACATCAGCGCTTGGAAAAGGTAAGTAAATAAGGGTTGTTAACCCTTTATTTATGAGGGGGTGGTGGATGGAGGAGGAAGGCAGGGGGAATGATAGTGCCAGGAATACACCTTTGTATTGGCATCCCTTTACCCTTATAACATTTCATTAGTAGGTAGAAAATACAATTTTCTATTCGCACTACTCCACTTTGTAGGATGGTACAGTGCAGTGCCTATACCAAACTATATGTCCAATGCCTTGGATCTGATAATTTTACAAAATGTTAAAAATCTGCTGCAAATAATTTGTTATTCACTGGCAAATCATGCGAAAAATCTCAAAGCTTTTACATTTTAAAGGGCTGCTGATTGCGTCTGGATAAACAAACTTTCCCTTCTACATGACTTCTCAGGATTCGAACCCTTCAGGCTGTTGAAATAGTTGTGAGATTACTGTCCAACATCCACATTGTGAGCACTTTATTGACATTACTCCATTCCTTGGGGGCTTCTGACTCTGCTGAGAATTTTTCATCCAAACCACATGGATTCCACTAAGTCAGGTCCTCTTGTGTCCTAACTTGCAGTATCCCCCACGGCAGGTGGCACCTCCTCCCACCACCTCTAAATATCACCCAATGTATCAGAGCGTAAGATACCTGCATTCCTTATATAAGGGGTCATCACCTTGCAGCGTTCATCCTGATGTTTTCATGGTTTAACTGAACCTGTTGTGTCGATATAATCTATTTCCCCTAGCCCTTCCCTTGTCATGAATCAACATCTTGCTGGCACCAGCGAAATAAAGCAATATTATGTTGTTTGGTTATTTTTGCATTAGCTAGAATGATATACACAAGGGCAAGTCACAACCTGCAGGAGTGTTATTTACTTTGGGTTTCCAGACTAGATCAATTTATTAGTAAGGCAAGAATAGAACATGACCCAAAAATAAGGACTCTTACTCATGTAACTGTCTTTTTTTCAGGTGATATATATGTAATTGGTTATTTTGGTGTAAAAAGATCCTTCTAGCAGAACTATAACTGCCAACACGTCCCATGGGGATTCAATGGCAGGAGATGTTGGGTGATCTATTCATGCAACAAGGTCAATGTTGAAAGCTGTGAAATAAACTTTCTGGACTCTGTACTGATGTACTTTCTTTCATCACAGGTAATTGCAGTGGTGATGGACACTTTTACTGATAACGACCTTTTCCGGGACATGCATGAGGCGTGCAGGAAGCGTAGAGTTCCAGTCTACATCCTTGTGGACCAGTCACATCTCCCACACTTTCTAACCATGTGCCAAAACCTGGGAGTCTCCCTTGAGACAGAGCAGGTAAAAGCAAAATAAACTGGAAACTACATGATCCCCACAATTTGTACTTTAAGAAGTTTTTGTTTACCATCTTTGCACAAACTATCTTTGTATCTCGTATCAAACCAGAGATTTAAAATTCTTCGATAATTTCTATAATATGAGTTTATAGAGAATTATCACTGAAGAGATGCATTGTACAAACATATGTCAACTATGGTTTTATTCTTTACGATATGCCATATTAAAATGTGTACTTTCTCCCAGCTTCAAAACCATAACTCATTTTTTATCTAATTAAGAACTGGTGGTCTCTGTCATGGCAGTGTAGTCATTGGAGACCGGACGTTGACATGGAAGTCAATGTTCTCTACTAGTAGTACAACATTCTAGATCTGTTAGTAGAATGTTCCATGGGCCATGATTTAGGGCATGGGTTGGCACTCAAGATGTTTTGGACTACATCTCCATTAATGCATTGCCAGCATTATGCCTGTAGGAGCATTCTGGAAGATGTAGTCCATAACATCTGGAGTGCCAAAGGTTGCCTACCCCTGCTTTAGGGTATACTCAGACTATTATAATGAAAGCTGGTACCGGTATTGGTCCTCAAAAAAGACTCTCCAAGCACTGTGGACAGCTTGTGCCCTCTGTGTGGCTTTCTAAACAAAAGGTCTCCAGTTTTTTTTTCCTCTCTCTACAAAAACTGGCTTATACTAGACTTTTTATTTGCAGTTCTTCAGCATTTACCTATTTCTAGGTGTGTAAACAACCTGATTTAATTACTAATCTATATACATATTTGAAGCCTGTCTCTGGCACATTCCTTATTTTACAAAATAAGAAGTGTGTGGTTTTTAGAATAAATTGAGGATTCATTTTAAATGAGAGCTTATATTTCATGCTTCTAATTATTTGATACCTCTGTTCCTCAGCTGATGCGGGTCCGCACATTAAATGGAAGCAACTATTATACTCGTTCTGGGGCCAAGATTGTTGGCAAGGCACGAGAGCGGTTCCTCCTTGTGGATGGGCTGAAGGTAGCTACAGGGAGTTATAGGTATGTATGATTAAAAAAAAACCTTTTTGACCTCTTCTACAACTTTTGTTTAGGATGCTATGGTTAACAATGGTGGTACAGTGGTGCTGTCTGATGTCTAAGAGGACAATGTTGTTTCAGGCGTTGCATGTGTTAAGTATATGATCTTTGTGCCCAGCTTGGACACATTTTTATATGCATCACCAATCCTATAACGTTACCCTTCTTGGAAGTCAGCTGTGCTATAAACAAGGGCTATAGAATGTAGCAAGTACCACTTCATGGTCAGTTTAACATTAATAAGAGTTTGTAGAAGTATCCCCAAATTTGAATGATAAAAAAAGTGCATCCACTCATTTTAGCAATTTAACTCCATAAACTTAGCATCAAGATCTCTCACTATGCAAATGCCATAGTTTTGTCCAGAGCTGTGCTTTTAGTATCACAGGACCTTTATAAAAATATTGATAAAGGTATTGTGGGATGGAAACATAGCTATGTTGGTGGTGCTATGTGAAAGCATGGTCTCTACCCACTTTGAGCATACAATAGATGAAGATGGTGCAAACAACATTAGACAAAGGGATATTTCCACCAGTATGATCCAGACAGAGAGGACCAGATTCCCACAAAAATCCAATGGTAGTAGATACTGTGAAAAACGTGCTTATTATTACAACTTTTCGATTTCCACCTTGGTATTCCACTAAACTCTAGGGAGTTGAAAAAGTATCACTATTGACAGGCTACTGTATTCCCTGCTGTGGTAAAGAATTGTTAGACAGGAGTAGACAGCTGCAGAGTCTTCTAAATAACAAATAGTAAAGTAAACTGATGCAAGTCACAAAACTCATTTACCTGAAATGTTAATGAATGGGAAAGGCAAAAAAGTAAAAATATATAGACTACTGTAATCAAAGAAAGAAAATGCGTTGGGCTTTGTTTCACCGATCTTTGTTTTGCCTCCACAGCTACACATGGATGGATGGAAAGCTAAATAGCAGTAATTTAATAGTACTGAGTGGCCAAGTGGTGGAGAAATTTGATCTTCAGTTTAGGGTCTTGTATGCCCAGTCCAGTCAAATAAATGCCAAATCTCTGTCTAACACAAAAAATCGTGCTGTCTCGCTGGACCAGCTACTGTGCAATCTTCCAAGCCATAGAAAAACAACTGTGAGCAACCTTGTCCAAATGGAGTTGGCTAAACTATCCAGTACACCAAAGAGGGTCATTAATACCAGAAATGTTAAAGAAGTTCCTCCCGTGGATGCCCCAAAGACTTCAGAAGATGAGTGGTTGCAGAATTGTGATATCATCTCTGGCCTCAAAGAGATGGAGAATGTTGCCACTCAGACAGAACCATGTGAATTCCGTGCAAGTATAATGGCAATGGATGCAGCCACTCAAACTAGTGTGTCATCAAGTATTGCTGCGACACAAACTTTTATGCCAGCTAGGGTAGCTTCCACCCAGACTGTAGTATTTTCCAGAGAGATGACAACTCAAACGTCACAAACTAGCGAACCTTTAACAGCAAATGTAGGCCAAAGTACGACAACTTATTCTACCGGAATCAAGTTGCCCACTACCTCCTCCACCTCTTCATCCTCCTCTTCATCTTCTGCTTCAACCATCAGCACTGGCTCAAGCGCCTCCATCCGATCAATTGGCATGGTGGGCAGCAGGCTGCAACAGTCTGACTACCCACTCAGGGACAACATAAAGAAGCTCACAAAAGAGCGCCAGTATCATTATTCCACCATTCGTTCTAAGCTGGACCATATGGTTTCCATACTGTCCAGGAAGAATCGTTTCGGCAGTAGTTACCTGGGCTGTGAGCCAGCTGGCTATGGCTTTCAAAGGAGGGACGTGCTGCACAGTAGTCTTCTCAATCTTCGTGATGGGGCACGATTTGGCGCCCACATATAAAACCCAAACTTTCAGAAAGCATGGCATCTTTAATTTTAACCTTTCTCACAGCAGTGTTTCCAGACAGTGCATCTAGATAACCTTTCATGGTTATGGTAACCTCTATGATGAGGTTTTGAGAGTCCACCACTGTGCTGCTGTTTACGCACTTTAGACATGATGACTGACTGCTAAACTGAAGTTGGACTGAGTAGAAAATCCCATAAGTATCTGCAATTCTAGATCATCATGCATCTAGACTAGATCCCTCTGTGGTTTTATTTTTTTAATGTTTTGTACAAAATCTAAAAAAAACTCTCACCTGTCTTGTATGCTTTGAGGGCTTCACTTTGCCCCCACCCTTAATCACCCCAAGCAATAGAGGTCATGTCTTCTCTTGATATCAGCAGCTATGACATTCTCCATTTATCTCCTCGAGCAATAAGATGAACAAGTTCAAACGTCTTTGTAGTGTAGCTGCAGGAATGAACTATAACACTATTTGTCATCTGCTGTTTGTAATAGTGCGGGTTAACCATATACTCTCTGATGTAGACTGTAGGCTCTTAAGGACATTTGGTATAATATAATGCCTGTATGATCCTTGGAGACAGTCAGCCTGTGCTACTTTTTGTTTTTATCGTGTGGTGGTCGTGGGATTCTGTTTGTCTTAAGTCTATGTGTCTATGTTTGAAAATCTTTACATGTCAAAGAGCACCCCCTCCTCCCCTATAGTTGTTAATTATTTAACAGTTTAACTTCCCGGAATAAGTCTGTGTCTATAACAATGAAAATTGCAACATAATCCCACACTTTATTGTGGTTCTCCTCCGTTCCACGCAGCTCTGGATCTTTTTCAAATAAGACATTGTGCAATTAGTTTAATATTTCAGCCTGCTGTGTGTTATTGTGTGGATTCCAATACTTCCTAAGGAAGTAGATTACATTTATAGCTTTTGTTACAAAGTTCTATAGCTCTGTGGTGGTACTCTAGTACAGAGAATGCAGCAAGCGAACAGGATTACATTATATATCCTATTTGCAGTAGGTAATGGCCAAAACAGCAAAGTTCCGATTTTACTAGTAACTATACCTTTTGTGTGTTTTTTGGTTTGTTTGTTTTTCTCTGTCTTCTTAAAGTCACATTATATTTTATTTGCTGTTCTCGATCCATACAATCTAGGATATTGTGTGGTCTCTGGGTAATGATCCTGGTACATGGTGTTTGTCATTTTATGTACATACATTTAATTAGTTATAAAGGGTTGAGCAGCAAGTATTTTATGACTGCATTATTGAACTTTGAAATTGGACTAACTTGTTTTTTTTTAACTCTAAACCCATCCCATATTTCAAACATTGTACTTTATGAAGACTAACACTCTTATTAAAGAAGAAAATAAATCTATAAAATGCCATTCAATGTTGTAGCTCCCATTTAAAATGGAAGTCCCACTCTTTAAACAAACATTGCTATTATGTTAATAGTACAACATCTATATTTTAATGAAGTATATACACCTTTGAAAGTTACTGTGCATACAGATTAGTACTCGTCCTGCAAGATAATTTGTATATAATATAAAATATTCATTGCAACAGTCTGTTCTATAGAAATTGCCAAATCCCCAGCAACCACAAACACATTTTAATATATGAAATGTGATGACACTTGTAAAGTACCCCCCATGGCTTGTAAATCACTGTTAGGACGTAGCATGCAATATTCACTCATTTGTCTGCTTAAGGGAGACAGTCAAACACTGGTTCCATTGTTCCTGCTATATTGAATATATGCATTGTTATTACATGTTACCTTGACTAGAAATGTTGAATAGATTAGAAATAATCTGGTGTATTCACCAAGTACTCATGCCTTTATCTTGAAACAAAGAACCAATATAAGTTGTTGGGGGGGGAAAAAAAAAATAAGTTGTTGGGGGCGAAAAAAAAAATAAAAATAAAAAAATATATATAAAAAAAATTTTTTTTTCAACATATTCTAATTATGGTTTTCTGACAATGCACAGTTGGAAGTAAATTAATGGCAGACGCCCATTAGGTATGAAATGCTGACTTCCTGAGACCATACAAGACAAGTTCCTAAGCTGAGATGTCTTACAGGTGTGGCCATTTTAATGTGTATAGTTAATTTTGAAGCTTTACTGTCAAGCTGTATTTTTTTTTTTTTTGGACCTGTGCAAAGGTGGAGGGAACCTAGCGTGGTTATCTGAACTTCAAAATGTATATTTAACTCCTTAACACTGTTTAGCAATGTACGATGTATTGCTGGGATTGACCTGCTTTTGTGCTTAAGGTTTTCCAGTTCCTGCATGTGTTACAGAACACACATCAGTACTGGTTTTTAAGTGCAGGGCGTGAAAAGTTCTTCCCTGTAATCTGCAGCATTTATAGCCTTGCTATAAGGGACCTTCCTATGCTGCCAATCACAATACAGATTTGATATGAATTTCAGGAATACTTGGTGGATCTGACAGCCATAAATAAGGTACAAACAGATGGCCAATAGATGTAAGATGGAGATTAAGCACTTTTTGGTACACGTGTTTTTATCTGTTTTGTGTCACATTGTGTAAAATGATGATTTTTTTTTTTTTTTTTTTGTGATGTCTCTTTTTTTAAATGTGTAATAAAATTACTTTTACCATATTGTTTCCTGTGCAGTGGAAGTGACTGGCTCCTTTTAATAACATACTTTGAGTCCCAAGTGTCCATATTTAGGAGGGACAGTCCCTATTTTTGGCCCAAATCCCTCTTATCACTGTCCCTCTTTTCTAGGAGCTAAATTTTGATGTACAATGGAGCTCCACAGTAATGAGTCTTTAAACTACAACAAGTGTGTTTACAAATCAGTCTGTGTAAAGAAACATCGTTCCTATTCTGAGTAACATTTTAGTTGCATAAATTATTAAGTTATCAAAATGATTAAATCCCCTAATATGAACGTGTCATGTGTCCATCTGAAGTGTTTGGGAGGTATGAAATCAGGAAGTGCCAAAATAATTCTGTCCCAAGTGGAATAGAAATATGGGTTTATAAACTGTATGGCAAAAATAAGCTGTTCTGGGCTAAGTGCTAAATCACCAACAGAATGTTTCTCATTGTGGAGCACCTAAAATAAGTTATTTTGCCTTGATCGATCATGTCGTAATGGTTTCGTTTTTTTGTCATTAAGGTTTTTATTGATTTTTCACATAGGAAGAACAGTATCACAGGTATGCATACTTAAATACAATTGATAGGTGTAAACACATTGTGCATAATGGTAAAATAACATGAGTGGTAGCGTTCAATTTTACAATCTGAGTAGTTACTGAGGCTTACACAATCACCTCAAGGGTACTGGAAGGCGGTAGACACGTTTGACCAATCCAAGATACACCATAATTTCGTATGAACAACCAAAGCATGTACCCTGTGATGAGGAACAAGAAGGAAGGGAAGGGGGTTGTCATAATGTTTCACAGGTATACATTCCATATTGTTGAAAATTAACAAACTTGATTGGTATATGTGTGTTTTGATTCCGACTCACACATAACAATGTTCTGGATCACTGCTACTCAGCACACAAGTTAAGATCTACTGATGGAAGGAACGCTTTTCAAACCGATGCTTTAGCTGTAATCCACTGAGACACCGTCGCATTTGGTGGGTTCAGTTTGAAAGATTTTAAAGGCATGCCAACCATACTCGCTGTGTGTTTGTGTATATACAATATATACATAGAATAAAATGTGGTTGTTGGTTGGTTTTGAGTACTGGTTTATTGGTCAATGCTCAAGAGACTGGTATGAAGAACAAATAAGAAAGGCCTCTGGTGGACAGCTACCCACCTATAGGATACCTGTACTTGTTGTTTCATCTATAACTTGTGCTGGCAGTTTTTCTAACAAATTTATTGTTTGGGAGGCAAAAATCTGTTTAAAAATAGGTTTTTCCTCCCATTTCTCAGTCAAATGTCCAGCACAGATTCTAGATTTGACTGACAAGGGAGAGCAGATAAGTCCAAGGCCGAGCAACCACAGTCTATGCGTTGCGATTGCTATGGAAACTCTCTAGTCGTCACTGAAGTGTTCCCAAGCATTGCAAATTATGGAATAGGCAGAGGGTTGGTGTTACATTAAGAGTGATTTTCACAAAGCTTAGGTAATGGCGGCACTGGAATGAAGTATGGTGAGTAAATCTCATTATTTTAAACTGAATACATCATGTATCTCATTCTCTGATATCTGATGTATTTGGGAACAATTTTAGCCAATATTACATTTTATGCACAGGTTCACTTTAAAGAAACTCTGTTAGTACCATCACTACAGTGGTTATGATCCCAAGAGTGCCCTTGTAGGACCTTTAGTTTTATGCTTGCGCAGGCTGAAGAGGACTGGCAGGAAAACAATGGTGGAGGCTGGGAAGAACAGGTTTGGTTAAGTAAAACTTGCCTTCCCCTGCATCCCGTGGCCCCTGGACACCCAGCAGAGCATTTACCTTCAAGGGTCTTTGTAAATATATGCATAGACCCCAGATGGCGACAGAGCTGCTTCATGGACTAACATTTGATATAAGCCTACCATTTGAAGGAATGGTACCCTGAGTGTAGAAGTGGGAAGATGTTACTTGGTCCTTTGAAATGAAAAGCTCTTGGAGATTAAATTAGCCTCCAGGTGCTTGGACCAGTTTGATGCATATTAAACTTAATAATTTACTTGACCTTAAAAGGAATGTTTGGGTTAAAAAAATTTAATTATTGTATGCATATATCAGTTTTTAAAGGTACACTATACAGGGAGTGCAGAATTATTAGGCAAGTTGTATTTTTGAGGATTAATTTTATTATTGAACAACAACCATGTTCTCAATGAACCCAAAAAACTCATTAATATCAAAGCTGAATATTTTTGGAAGTAGTTTTTAGTTTGTTTTTAGTTATAGCTATGTTAGGGGGATATCTGTGTGTGCAGGTGACTATTACTGTGCATAATTATTAGGCAACTTAACAAAAAACAAATATATACCCATTTCAATTATTTATTATTACCAGTGAAACCAATATAACATCTCAACATTCACAAATATACATTTCTGACATTCAAAAACAAAACAAAAACAAATCAGTGACCAATATAGCCACCTTTCTTTGCAAGGACACTCAAAAGCCTGCCATCCATGGATTCTGTCAGTGTTTTGATCTGTTCACCATCAACATTGCGTGCAGCAGCAACCACAGCCTCCCAGACACTGTTCAGAGAGGTGTACTGTTTTCCCTCCTTGTAAATCTCACATTTGATGATGGACCACAGGTTCTCAATGGGGTTCAGATCAGGTGAACAAGGAGGCCATGTCATTAGATTTTCTTCTTTTATACCCTTTCTTGCCAGCCACGCTGTGGAGTACTTGGACGCGTGTGATGGAGCATTGTCCTGCATGAAAATCATGTTTTTCTTGAAGGATGCAGACTTCTTCCTGTACCACTGCTTGAAGAAGGTGTCTTCCAGGAACTGGCAGTAGGACTGGGAGTTGAGCTTGACTCCATCCTCAACCCGAAAAGGCCCCACAAGCTCATCTTTGATGATACCAGCCCAAACCAGTACTCCACCTCCACCTTGCTGGCGTCTGAGTCGGACTGGAGCTCTCTGCCCTTTACCAATCCAGCCACGGGCCCATCCATCTGGCCCATCAAGACTCACTCTCATTTCATCAGTCCATAAAACCTTAGAAAAATCAGTCTTGAGATATTTCTTGGCCCAGTCTTGGCGTTTCAGCTTGTGTGTCTTGTTCAGTGGTGGTCGTCTTTCAGCCTTTCTTACCTTGGCTATGTCTCTGAGTATTGCACACCTTGTGCTTTTGGGCACTCCAATGATGTTGCAGCTCTGAAATATGGCCAAACTGGTGGCAAGTGGCATCGTGGCAGCTGCACGCTTGACTTTTCTCAGTTCATGGGCAGTTATTTTGCGCCTTGGTTTTTCCACACGCTTCTTGCGACCCTGTTGACTATTTTGAATGAAACGCTTGATTGTTCGATGATCACGCTTCAGAAGCTTTGCAATTTTAAGAGTGCTGCATCCCTCTGCAAGATATCTCACTATTTTTGACTTTTCTGAGCCTGTCAAGTCCTTCTTTTGACCCATTTTGCCAAAGGAAAGGAAGTTGCCTAATAATTATGCACACCTGATATAGGGTGTTGATGTCATTAGACCACACCCCTTCTCATTACAGAGATGCACATCACCTAATATGCTTAATTGGTAGTAGGCTTTCGAGCCTATACAGCTTGGAGTAAGACAACATGCATAAAGAGGATGATGTGGTCAAAATACTCATTTGCCTAATAATTCTGCACTCCCTGTAGTCACCTGAACAACTTTAGCTTAATGAAGCAATTTTGGTGTATAGAACATGCCCCTGCAGCCTCACTGCTCAATCCTCTGCCATTTAGGAGTTAAATCCCTTTGTTTATGAACCCTAGTCACACCTCCCTGCATGTGACTTGCACAGCCTTCCATAAACACTTCCTGTAAAGAGAGCCCTATTTAGGCTTTCTTTATTGCAAGTTCTGTTTAATTAAGATTTTCTTATCCCCTGCTATGTTAATAGCTTGCTAGACCCTGCAAGAGCCTCCTGTATGTGATTAAAGTTCAATTTAGCGCTTGTAATACTTATTTTGTAATATTTCTTTAATTGGAACTCAACTGCAGCATTTCTTGGTTGCAACAACAATAAGGTTCACCTCCTTTTATATTGGTATGAAACTATGGTCACTGTACCTTTAAATATCCATGTAGGTAAAATTAGGCTTTGTAGCAATCCCTTATGAGTAAGAGGAATAATTAGACAAAGTGACACTTTAGTGAGTTTTAGATACTGTGTAATATAAATAATAGTAATTGACTTGTTTGGTAAAAGTATTACTTAACTTAAAGGCAGTTCTGGCACTGGAAGGGTTAATTCACCCAATGAAGGAGAAATTAGAAGTCCGTTTCAACAAGCTGAGAACTAGGAGTGGAGAGTGGGGAAGTCCGTTTTAACAAGCCGAGGTCTGGGAGTGGAGAAGGTAGAATTCAGAGTTACAAGCCGAGGTCGAGAAGTGGAGAAGGTAGAAATCCGTTTACTAGCCGAGGTATAGAAGTGGAGCAGGTAGGATCAGAAGTAGAGCAGCTGATCTTCATGCAGCACCTGTGCGAATAATCCAGCCCTTTGAATCTGGCGCGGTCCTCCTAAGTATCGTGGAGGGACCGCGTCAGAGAAAGGGGCGGGGCTGAGCGCCGTGAACCCGGAAGTGGGTTCCGGCGATGAATTACATGCCATGCTATACCTGACAGTACCCCCTTCCCATGGGGCATCCTCTGGGTGCACTATTTCGGTTTGGAGGGATAGCGTTTGTGAAAGGCAGTAACTAACCTCCTAGCATGTACATTAGATGAATCTTCCCAAGTGTCTTCATCAACTCCATAACCTTTCCATCTGATAAGGTATTGTAAGGAGCCACGGTGGACACGAGAATCCAAAATTTTGTGAATTTCATATTCTTCTTCACCTTGGACAATGATAGGTTCAGGAGTTGTTACTATTTCTCTATAAAAAGGATCAGGGATGTGTGGTTTAAGT